CTAAATATAGCTTCTGTCACTCAACTCCAGCCACTTAAACCTCCAGTCAAAGGTACTGGCAGGCCACAAGTGTAATGTCACCCCTGGAAATGACTAGCGGAAGCAACCTGAAAAATACTTTCTGCGGAGTTGGGCTTGTTTTTTTCGAAGTAGCTTGTGGGTGAAGGGGCAACAGGGTTGGGGTGGGGGGGAGAGACGGCCAGCGAGCGAGGGAGAGAAGGAGGAAAAGGAAAAGAGAGCAGGGGAAAGGGAAGGATGATGGAAGTTGTTGTTGGTTATGATTTCAAGAAGTTGTCAGTAAGAGAGAGAACGACTCCTATTTAACGTAGCTTGGAAATAACGCAAATGAATTGATGAATATCACCCTCCCTCCCCTTATGTTTAGGTGACATAGAAACTTTTCAAACTGCTGCCTGCCTGGCTCCGGTAGTGGAACTTTCGCCCCCAGATCAAAAGGTTGTGGGTTTAAACCCCCATGTCTGGATTTTGACATCATTGTCACAGTGAGCTCATAGGTGTCATTATGACTAAGTTGGCAACACTTTTGCCTCTGAGTCAGAAGGTTGCGGCTTGAAGCCTGGACTTTGAGCTCACAGTCCGGCTGTAAACACCTTATTGTCGGAGGTGCTGTCCTTCGGATGAGACTTTGAACCGAAGTCCCATCTGCCTGGTTGGTTTGATGTTAAGAAATGCCACGGGACTTTTCGAACAGAGAAGGGAGTCTTGGCTAACAATCAACAACAACAACTTGCATTGATATAGCACCTCTCACCAGGGTAGCATCCTGGAGCGCTTGATAAATCCCCAATCTTCTCAATAAATAAAATTGGTCATTCACTTCATGGCGGTTTGTCAGGACATCGATGCCTGCAAATTGGCTGCTGTCTACGTGGAAAACAAACAGTCCCTACACTCAGCAGAATCTCAGCGAGGCATTTTGGAGATGTTTGACATCATAGACGTTATCTATCTTAATTATTGTACATGATGAGTTTTCCTGTTGAAACTGAGGGCCTCTTGCGAACCCACTGGGTTTGTTTTACAGCCCCGTTCAGTAATAAGACTCAGAGCTTTGTAATGAACGTTCTGATAGCCTCCCTGTTTGAGCTACAAGCAGCAGCTGAAACACTGGGAACTTCTGTCCCCAGAGAACTGCACTGCACAGCCTCAGCTCTCTCTCTCCCCGGCTCGCAGTTTGTCAGAGTATTGCAGTGGTATTTTTACTCCTGTTTACCATAACCCTGGCTTTGTTTATTGAGAGTTTATTTATAATACGGTCGGTGGCCACGGGTTTTTGTTTCCACGACATTAGCATCAGCTCGTCTCTTGATTCCCTACACGATGCATTGTGGGCTCTGTGAACCAGGGTCTCGCTAACACTTCCTGTCCAGTAATTTCCCAGAAAAACTGAAGTCTTTTTCTCTTTTTCTCTCTCTTTCTCTCTCGTGACTCTCTGTCTGTTTCACTCCTCGCTCACATGCGACCACAACCAACTGCTTGAATTAATATAGCTCAGTTCAGGCGAAGAGAAAAAAAAATATCAAAGCGCTTGACAAATGCGGTGGCGGTGGAGCAGGGAACCGAGTTGAAAAGAAACAACAACAAATTGCACGCATAGATAAAGCGCCATTCACATCGTGAGGACGTCCCAAGGTGCTTTTATGCCATTGAAAAATTTTAAAGTCATTTAAAGTCAATCCACTTTGCAATATATTCTGTGAAGCACTTTGAGACGTCTCAACGACGTGATAAGGAGCTATATCAAATGCAAGGATTATTAGTATTATTGATCAGGGTATTGAGGGAGAGAAATGTTTTTAGAATTTTTTTCCAAAAATAATAATAATAACCATAATTGTTGCATTTGGTACATCACATTGTCTTATCTCATTACGAACTTCTCAAAGCACTTCACAGATTTTTCTGCTAAGTGTAGTGACTGTGTATTTGTAGGCGATTACGCCTACAGGCCAATATGTGGCCAGGAATGGTCTACAAACAGCCATATTGTAAATGACCAACTGAGGGCTTGTTGGCCCGGACATAAGGAAACCAGGACACAGTTCTCTTTTCAAACTATCGTGAGATCTTTAACATTAACCTGAATGGAGACACGAAGTACTTTGGTTTTAATTTCTCATCCAAAGGACCGCACCACCGATAATGCAGCCCTCCACCAGCACTGCATGTTAGTTAGCCTGGAATATGAGCACAAAGTTCCAACGTGGGGCTTGAATCCACGACCTTCTGCTTCGGAGGCCGAGAGTGATACCAACTAAGCCAGACTGACTCCCAAGAAGGGTTTTTCTCTCCCTCTTGGCCTGGCCTCTCTCCTAATTTACTCGTCTTGGAGTGAGCGGCAAAGGAAAGATTAGGTAAAGAAAGAGATAGAACTTGGAAGATAACAAACCAAGATTGATAGCTCTTATCCAATCTCCAATGGCCATTTGTAGGGACAAGGCAATCCTCAAATCAGAAGCACAATGAATTATTCCCTACGCCGCCCCCCCCCCCCATATCCACCGCCCTCTCCCCAGCTGAGTTGTTAAATGTGCTGACAATTTAGTATTGAGCTGTAGAGACCTGGAAGGCCTCTGGTTTAATCTCTAGTCTTGGCTGCGTTCACCGATCTCATTGGGACACAATGCTATAAGCAGCCTCACTGCTTCTGGCTAAGAAACGGTGATCACTTCCAAAGTTCCTGCTCCTGATCACTATCCCACGCCCCCTACAGGAAATTATTTGCGTGTCCTCTCTCCTCCACAATCCCACCCACCCCACCCTGGATACTCCACTGACCCTCATGTCTGGGCTCACATTGCCTAATGGCCACTCGGGTGCGATGCTATAGGGCTGTTCCAGCGCAAGTTCATTCACACCTACATTGGATGCTAAATAAAACCAAAAGGGGGAAAAAAACATACTTTCAGTTGGAATTTCAATTGGAATCCATTAGAATTAATGCCGATTAATATTTTAATGAAGCACACGATAAGGTTAGTTGGCTCTTGGCGTCTTGTGGGATTAGGTCAATGCCAACGATAGGAATGAGCTATGAGCCCAGCCCTAAGATCGCGCTCTCAGCAAGTTCTGGGACGGAGCTCGGAACCATCTCTGGGAGAATGAATCATGCTGTTGATCTCAGGCAGCTACACAAAGTCATCTCCTGTGGGGACAACCTCTTGCTCTGCTTATGTCTCTGCCTCTCCCCCTCTCTCTCTCTCTCTCTATGCCTCCCTCTGCCTTTCCTTTTGTCTCGCTCTCTTCTGCCTCCCTCTCTTTCGTTCTATCTCTCTCTTCTCTCTCCCCTCCTTTCTCTCTCTCTCTTATGTTACTGAAGCTCGGAGAATGCTCGTAGCTCCAGTTTGCACATAAATATTTCAGTGTTTGCCAAACAGCAGTTTCTGTTCTCTGAAGATTCCCACACGAGCAAAACAGCCAAGGGTTCAGCACGGACAGACCTGTGGCAGTTTGAAGCTGTGTGAACGAACCTCCCTCTCTCCCTCCCTCCCTATCTCACTCCCTATCATCCTCCCTCTCTCCATCTATTAGCCATTCGCACAGACTGGGGTTAAGAAGAGGCCACAGGCTGTCTGAAAATTTAAGACTGCGCAAACTGTAGAAAATTCAGCCTTAATGTTTGCTTTTGCCTACGAAATACACAGTCACTACACTTTACAGTGTGTCCCGTGAAGCGCTTTGAGACGTCTTACCGACGTGAAAGGCATTATGTTAAATATAAGGAGCATGATTAATTATTCTTTTAGCAATGTGGAAAATGTGGCTCTTTTTAAGGGCCTCAGAAAATCAGAAGCCAAATAATAATAATCCTTGCATCCGATATGGTGCCTTATCACATCTGCGAGACATCTCAAAGCGCTTCAAATTGAGACCAGATTGGGGAAAATGAGGATTTTTTGCGGTGGGGTGGGTGGTCAGTGAGGAAGGAGAGGGTGGATGAGCTGTACATTACAGTGAAGAAGACCCACATTAAACAAGAGCCACTGGGAAAGCAAAAGGAGAGATTGTTATTTCAGACAGAAGAAAAAGAAATAATTTCATTTACAGGGCGACTGCTTGCGACCTAGTAGGGATGCAGAGGAGGGAGTGGGAGGAAGCTGTATTGACGTGCACAGACAAGGCTGAGTCATTCCCTGGTGTTAACAAGTGTTGATTAAGCAGTGGATCTATCCTTGTAGATCCTTCACTCAGCATCTCCCCGGTCACATTGAGACCCTCACTGTTTACAACAAAGAAATAAAAGAAAATGGGATGTTAATTTAAACATGGTTGGTAATTACGTGGGGAGGAGGGGAATTCTGCACGCTACCCTTCATATAGTGAGGTGAGGGGTGGGGGGGGAGCGGGAGAGACTATATTCTATTCTACTAGGCAGATATTCTAGTGCAGCGCTGGGGTAGTGCACTATCAGAGATGTCATCCTTCAGATGAAATGTTAAACTGACGTCCCCTCTGTCTGTTCTGGAGGATGTTAAAGATCCATTGCACTATTGATAAAGAGGAGGGATTCCTGGCCAGCAATCCACCAGATAAATTGGTCGTTCGTAACTGTGGGACTTTGCTCTGTGCAAAGATGAAACTTGCTACCTCAAGGAGTAGTTGAGGCGAATAGCATAGATGCATTTAAGGGGAAGCTAGATAAGGACATGAGGGAGACAGGAATAGAAGGTTGTGCTGATAGGCTTATTTGAGGAAGGTCAGGAGGATACTCATGTGGAGCATAAACACCGGCAGAGACCAGTTGGTCCGAATGGCCTGTTTCTGTGCTGTATATTCTATGTAATTCTGTGTAACAATTGGCTGCTGCTTTTGCCTACAAACACACAGTCACCACAACTAAGAGAGATTACAGTGAATGGATGAGCTGATCAGGGGCTGTATTCAAGGAGCTAAAATTAGTTTGGGTGGAATTTGGTTCAGGAGTTTGTGTGCGTCTGTGTTATTTTTAAACAAAAACGTTTTTTCCCACTCCCTCTCAGGTGATGCCCAAAACCAGCACTCTGTTTACACTGAAACACTGATCTGTTCGAGCTGAAGGGACAGAATGGGAAGAAAGAAGATACAAATTTCGCGGATCGTAGACCAAAGGAACCGGCAGGTATGGCTTGTCCCAACGAATCCGCCATTTTTTGTGGTAGGTGGGGTGTCTGACACATGCGGAAACCCGTCACCGTGCATAAGGGTATCCAAACCAAACTGAGAATTCCATGCGTCCCACCTACGCCTGGAGATTCCAGAGATAGATTGCCGGAATGGAGCGCGCTGAAACTCTCTCTCTCTCCCTGGAGGGACGCGCCTTGCTTACAGAAAGTATTAGGCGCGGGTTGGCAAGAGCCAAGGCTTGGGGACCCCAGAATGTGTGACGTCATTGATTTTGTGGCACCCAGAGGGGATTTTTAAGCGCTCGGAGGGCTTTTTTTGGTCTCTCCAGCACGACCGAGACCGAATCCCCAGGAGCAACGGCCAGAAGTTTTTAAGTCAATTTCTGTGTGTTTTTTAGCATGTTGTTTCGCAAAAAAAATGACGGAAAGATTTGCATCTGATTTACCTTTCCTTCTGGTTGTGACTCAGCAAAGCCAGGCTGAAGCAGCTCGCACTCTTCCGTTGTCCTCTAAGCCACTGCTTGCACCAGCCATAGGTGGAATCCCAGTCACAAGCATCTGATTTGTGTGTCACTGGTGTCAAAGCCTCTGGTATCTGTTACTATCTATAGTCTGGGGATTGGGTCTGAAAATCTTAGGTTTCGGTCAAATCTTACATTTAAAGTTTCGATGTTTTTCGCTCCATATTTCACCTGACACCATTCTGTCATTTTTTAAATTAATATCTATTAACATTTTTTAAATTAATCAATATATATAAAATAATAATAATGATTCTTGTACTTCACACCGCCTTTTTAGGACTGAAAGGTGCAAAGCGCTTCACGGGATTTACTGTGAAGTCTAGCGACCATGTATTTTGTAGGTGACGATTTGCACTAATTTAGTGTACAGCAGTCTCCTACAACCAGCCGTGAAGTGAATGACCAGTTTTATTTGTGTCGGCTAGGTCACCGGGAGGAAGTCCCTTCTCTGTTTGAGTTGTGCCACGGGATCTTTAACGTCCACCTAAACAGGCTGACGGGACCTCGGTTTAAAGTGCACCACCCTGGAGTGTCAGGCTAGACTTGAATAATAATAATAACAATAATCCTTGCATTTGATATAGCGCACATATCACGTTTTCAAGACGTCTCAAAGGGCTTCGCAGACTATACTGTAAAGTGAATTGACCGTATATTTTTGTGGGCGAAACGTGGCAGCCAATTGCGCACAGGAGTGTCCCACAAACAGTTGCGGTTTGAGTGACCAATTTTTTTTTCTTTTCTTGAACCCGTAACCCTCTGACTCCGAGGCACGAGTGGGTTACCATACTGGACCGGGTTAACACCTGATAGTAATTACTGTGAGGCGTCTGCAGAATTCCAACGTGCCATAAGGTTGATATAATGTTAAAAATATAAGTTCTTTCTTATAGAGTTCAGTGTTAGGACTGGATATAGGATGGGAGGGCACAGAGTGTGGTCAATTGAAACAAACTCTTTGTCAGTCTCTCACCCTCCCAGGGTGAGTGTGAATGAGCGGCAGTGCGAACACAGGGTAAGCTGTGGACAGCTGCCCACACTCATCTCTCTAAACTTTCCAGGGGTGTAAAGCCACAATGCCATGACTTGGGCCCTTGTTGTGGTCATCATTTCTTTTGGGTGTCTATTTCTTTCTTTGTTTCCTGGTGACATTGATGGCCGTTCACCTGATATCCAGGCCAGCCCGCAGTGAGTGACTCTGCCCAGGCTTGTGTGGGTGCTCTGTGTGGGCTCCAGTCATGTCTATGTGTCTCTGCCACAGGTGCAGAAAGGCTCTGCTACGTCACAGTACTAATGCAGTAAAAATCCCGCATAAGGCTGATCCGCATAAATCATGTCTTTGCCTAAGTTGTGCATCTGCCCAATTCCCGTTCAAGAGTTTATATCCTATGCCAGTTGGTCACTCAATCCGCGACTGTTTGTGGGACACTGCTGTGCGCAATTGGCTGCTGCGTTTTGCCCACAAAATACACAGTCAATTCACTTCCTGTGAAGCCCTTTGAGACGTCTCGAAGATATGATAAGGCGAAATGTCAAATGCAAGAATTATTATTATCATTATAAATTTGACATAACTCAAACGGTACTTTGCATGAGTCATATTAAATGTATGGTCCCAACTGATATGCCATATGTGAAGTTGGCTGCATCACACACACACCACACACACGCAACAAACACACACACACTATCTATGCCCGTTGTTATCCTCTTGACCTCGTATCTCTGCCCTCCGCAGGTGACCTTTACCAAGCGTAAGTTCGGGCTGATGAAGAAGGCTTACGAACTGAGTGTGCTGTGTGACTGCGAGATCGCTCTCATCATCTTCAACAGCACAAACCGCCTGTTCCAGTACGCCAGCACTGACATGGATCGCGTGCTCCTCAAATACACTGAGTACAGCGAGCCCCACGAGAGCCGGACCAACACCGACATCCTAGAGGTGAGGGCGGCGGCGGGGGTGGGGGCTGCGGTTGGGGAAGAGGTGGGGGGTGGTGTGGGGGCTACTAGGGACCTGTGAAGGTTGTGGACGTACTCTGCTAGTGGTTCCTGTGGGAGTCCGTGTGCAAGTCAAGGTGGAAGCGTCTCTGTGAAGATGCCAAAAAGTAAAGATCATATAAAGCCTTTTTTCGGCCTGACACATGCGTAAACTCATCACCGAGTATCCAAACCAAACTATATAAACCTGACAATCTAATAATATACATCTATTGATCAGGTTAGGCTACCTGTCTGTCTGGCTCTTTAAAGCCTGATCAATACATCTATTGATCAGGCTACCTGTCTGTCTGGCTCTTTAAAGAGTTCTGGGAGGTATAGACTTCTCTACCCTGTGAGACAAACCTCCTAATATTAATGTTGGGCTCTTTACACAAGATCATAAGATTGGTTTGGATGAAGAAGGTCCCTTGGCCTATATGGTCTTATCCTTCCAGGTTTACTATAGAGAGCAACATGTTGGGCCTGTGAATGGGTTGGTTTGAATGTTAAAAGTCAAGCTCTTTAGCCCAATGTTTCCTACAGGTGTGACTCTGGTATCGGAGTTCAGGGGAGGGGGTGGGCTGGAGGGAGTTGGGGAAGATATACCATGTTTCGGCAGAGTGTGTTGGTGAAGGGTTTGGGATTTGGGATTTTCAGACGCTGAGGAAAAAGGGTTTAAACGGGTGTGAGAGTCCAGACCTGGAGATCGACGATGCCATCGAACCAAACCTGGAGATCAACGACAAATACAGGAAGTACGAGGCAGCCAGTCACATGAACAACCGACAGAGGCTTTGTGTAAGTAGCGCTTAGCTTCCGTTATTATTTTAACCAAAGCTAATAATAATAATAGTAATTATTATTGTTATTGCTAGCTTCTGTTTTTATTCTTTTGGTAAATTTTGTGTTCATTAATGACGCTAACAACAACAAATTACATTTACACAGCGCCTTTCACGTCAGGAGGACGTCCTAAGGCGCTGAACAGTTAGGGATTCGGACCCGAGCTGAGAGTTGGGATCAGTAGGGGTGGAGGTCAGGGAGGAAAGGAGTAGAAGGGTGACCGAAGGCATGGTTGAAAGGGAGGGTCTTGAGATGGGCCTTGAGGGAGGTTAAGGTCAGATACAGCATGGGCTAGGGACAACGCTCTCTCTCTCTCGCTCTCTGCACTGTCCTAGCCCAGACTCTTTGGTCAACTATAGTTTGTATCTCGGTCCTGAGTGTCAGAAGAGCTCCCCCTATTGCAGCAAACCTGTGAAGCAGGCCTTAGCTTTCAAAGACCTTTCACTCTCTAATCTGGGAGAAGAGGAAGTCAAATCCAAGACAAATTCACATTCAACCACAGCAATCTCATTTCAGGCTCCAGCCCGTGATAAAGTCAGCCCTATGTAAGGCAATCTCCTTTATATCCGTTTCATTCTGGTCTTTGTGCACAGGAGCGAGCAGGATGGCTGGTTCCTCAAAGGGAGACTGGTTCATATTAGTTTGGTGTACATTTGGCCCAATTCCTTCCCCCATTCCTCCTCATTTAATAATGACTGTCTGTGCACGTGTATTATGCATGTAACGTGTGGATGTCTGCGCGTGTGAAGGCTGGGGTCTCTGGGACGCTACCAGGCACAAAGGGCGCTATGTAAATGCTAGTTGTTGTTGTCATCGCCATTGTTGTTGTTGTCGTCTTACCCTCTCGTCCCACTTCTGTTCTCCTCAGGCAGCCGCACTACCGAACCACGACCCGACCATGTTGAGCGCGGCTCAGGGCGGAGCTGGCCTGGCCTACGGCAGTGTGCCGGAGTCTGCGCTGAGTCGCGGGGCGCTGACGCAGCCCACCGCACCGCGGAGCGAGCATTCGCCGGGATTAGCAGCTCCGGTGTCCGCGATCTCACATTCAGGTACGTCACCCGTCTCACCGAATAATAATAATAATAATTACCCTTGCATTGGATATAGCCCCACATCACGTCTTCAAGATGTCTCAAAGCGCTTCACAGGATACACTACAAAGTGAATTGACTGTATATTTTGTGGGCGAAACGCAGCAGCCAATTGCGCACAGCAGCGTCACACAAACAGTGGTGGACTGAGTGACCAAATTATTATTAAATTGGAATGTGCTAGGAGCAGGAGGGCCCCGGTCAACACATTGATGGGATCCTGATTAACTCCTCATACCCCCCCCCAGCCCACCCGTCCAACCAGTCCTTGCCCAGTGATCCACTCTGCAAAGCGGTTTAAGATGCTTCAAGCTTGTGACGACCTCAAACCCATCACACCCCGTGTCTCCAATGGGACTAGGAACATAGGAAATGCTGGATAAAATAAGACCAAGATCCATCCAGTTTGCCTTCCACCATCCTGGCAGTCGCATACACACGTCATGTCCTGAACTACTCATGTACTGTATCCCCCAAATATTATTTCAGGACCTGACCTGGATAATTTCCCCTAGAGCCTCAGTCTTCTTTCCAAATGAGAATAATTTCAGGGTCTGTGCGTCTCTCTCTCTCTTAATAACCCTAAACTCAATTAATCCTTTCCTCTACCCCCACCCGCCCCCAAACCCCATCCAATGTTTTAATGCCCCTCCGCTACCCCATGGCTTGTTACTACTCTTTAAAGAGTAGTAACAAGCCATGGATGGACAGGCAATAAACACATGAAGAAGCCAACAAATAAGGTGGGGTTATGAGTGTGGTGGATTGGGAGGAAGAGGAAGACGGTTCCAGGCTGTTTTTTTTAATTACATTTAAGAATAAAAATGTTCCATTTAATCTCAAAACAAGTCGACAGCACTTCTGAGCGTCTCGGGTGAGGAGGGTTGGGGAGGTGTGAGGCGGGGGAGTGGAGTATTGGGACTCTGTGCAGGAGGATTTGTACAAGAAAAACAAGCTTGGTTACTGAGAAATAGTTGCTGGTAAATCTCAAAGCGTGTTCCCAGCACTGAAAAATCTCTTGTTTCTGTTCCTGAATTTCATTGATATTTTTAACTTTTCTGACCCCAGCTGCTTTGTTGCACCGCAATCTTCTCTCCCCTCAGCTGCCGAGTTGCTCGGCTTGTACCAACACCTCCCCACCATCCACCCCTCCCCCGGCAGCAATGTTTCACAGCTCACATCGCTCCCCTGCATTGCGGAATGTGGTGTCCTGTAGCTCAGCGGTTAGAGCACTCGGCTCGCAATCGAGAAGACCCGGGTTCAATTCCCGTGCGAATCAGGGCGAAACCTTAGGCAAGTTGCCTTACTCCGCACTCTTCTGTTTACGTAGCAGTAAGTAGGAATCCAGTTGTTATTCAATTGGTGGAGCGCTTTTCCAGGAGTAATAATCCTTTCCGCCCCAAAAAAATACTAATAATTCGGTCACTTAAGCCACGACGCTTTGTGGGGGCACTGCTGTTGCACAATTGACTGCCGCGTTTCGCCCACAAAATATACAGTTAACTCACTTTACAGTATGTTCTGTGAAGCGCTTTAAGAAGGCCCGAAGACGTGATAAGGCGCTATATTGAATGCAAGGATGAAGGATTACCATAATGCACACTCTCCCTCCTCCCCACCACCCTTCCTCCCATTCCCCCTCTCCCCCCCCCCTCGCATCCTGCGGTGTTGCACGGCATGCACCGTTGCATCACTCTGAAGTGCAACCAGCAGACACACAACTGCATGGGTTTCCTCACTGAAATTCACCATGGAACCCATGCAAAGTTCAGCGGGTTCATTAACCCTTCCAGTGGCGCAAGGCTTGTGATCTCATTGCTTCTTCAATGTGGTGTCTGATTGCTAAAAGTGATGAACTGTACAGCGCACAGACGTATTTCTGAGTGTGGGCTGGGGGTGGGGGGAGAATAGTGAGGATGTCAGATAAAATAAATTTGCAACACTTTGTTTCACTTGGTTGATTGAAGGATTATTTCCATTCAATGGTCTGTGAGCGGTGGGGTATAGGAGGGGGGTGGTGGGGGGGGGGTGTTTAGGAGTAGGGGAACAGCATACTGTATGAACTCAATTTCACCAGAAGAGCTTGAGGGAATGGTGTGATGAATTGTGGTTTACTCTTTGTCACATGGAATTGGTTTAGAGTTTGAAAAAGGATTCTATTTTTAAAAAGGGGGGGTGGGGGGAAATACGGGGATTAAAAGAATAATAAATAATAATAAATCTTTACATTTGTTGTCGCCCTGTTCACATCGGGATGATGTCTCAAAGCATTTAACCCCAGAGTGTTTCTGAACCAAGGAAATTCTAAGCCTTAGGTGCCTCTTACAGTGCAAGGCTATTTTGCTTGTTTGACTGTTTCGAATAAGCCCACAAAATATACAGTATATGCTGTGAAGTGGATCGACGGTATATTTGGAAGTGCTTCGACATGTGCTTCGCGACGTCTCAATGACGTGATAAGGCGCTATACCAAATGCAAGGATTATTGTTGTTATTATTAATATTAAGCCAGCACTGACGACAGTTCCTGCCCGGGTCAGTGGGAGAACCCGGACGGAAAATAAAAAATTGCTCCCTGCAGCGCTGGCTACGCTCGAGGGGGCAGAGTCATGAGGGGGTTAATCTCTACGTGGCTGACTCATGTGACCGCATTTGTACAGTATCTGCTGCCATTTCCTGCCTTTCGGTCGCTCTGGGGATGAATGAGCTCATTAACTCCACGCGCCTCGCAGTTTCCAGAATCGAGGGTTTCGCACAATGAGTGTTAACCCCTCGAGATGAAGGATTGCAGAAACCGCTCTCGCACGGATATGCGGGGTGGGGTGGATGGGGAGGGGAGGGGGTGAGAGAGGAGGGAGTGAGGACCCTGGGGGCGGAGGGTGGTGTATGTGTGTGTGTGTGTGTGTGTGGACGGAGGAGGGGAACAAGTGATGACACAGTAAGAATTTTCCACGTTGCCTTTCGCTGAGCATGAGATCCAGCCTACAACACTTTTAGGTTTCCCAGACATCAGCACGAGAATTGCACCCTTACAAGGAGGGGAAATCAGGCAGACGGTCATTCTTCCTCTCCATCTCCTGCGCCCCCAGTAGCTACAATCTGCAGTCCTGAGAGAAACTCCACCCCACCGCCAACCCATTCCCCTGTCCCACCTGCCTGTCCTTGTAGAAACATCAGAAACAATAATCCTTGCATTTAATCAAACTAAAGAGCTTCAATTGTTACGAGTTACTTTGCAGTGTAGTGACTATTGCCCTGGAGGCAAATGGACCAACTAATCCGTACCGATATCTATATTGTAATAATAACCTAAGGCAACTTTCCTTACTCCACACACCTCTGTTTACCTAGCAGTACGTAGTGGGCCATGTTCCACCAACAAAATATACAGTCAATTCACTTTACAATATATTTTGTGAAGCGTTTTGAGACATCCCAATGACGTGATGAGGTGCTATATCAAATGCAAGGATTATTATTATTATATTACATCCATGAAATTAGGAGGTTTTCCCCTTGAATAAAATTCGCCTTGTGTAGATCTGTTCTGTGCATCAGATAGTCAGCCTTTAAATTTCTGTACAGTAGTTTGGTTTGGAAACACTTAACCATGGTGATTGGTTTCCGCATGTGTCAGACACCCGTCTTTATATGGTCTTTAACGTGGCTCATTCTCACCGGCCGCAACCAAACCAGGCTTGGTGTTAGCGATGCTCACCAGTTCCTTGTCTGTCTGACTCAGACGGAAAGTGTAGGGGTGGCGGAGAGCATCCGAGCGATTGCTGAGCGGAAAATGGTTAGACCTGGGCTGCACAGCCAAGGGCGGCATACCCCATTATACTCCCCACTCCTGCCCTGAGCTGATGGTGTATTTATAAATTGCAAATAAACATGAAAACAAATCGTCGGAAAAAATAAAAAAACACAACTCAACACGCCCACTGGGACAACCACAGAGCCCTTTCTGTTTCACTCTAATTTCATACTTAGATTTTTTTTATAAACCCATTAATCAGACTGAGTTGTTTCAAGTTGAGGGATTGAATTCCCCAATATTTCTCCCTGAATCTTCTCCCCTCCCGGGCGTGCTTCACTCCTCCAGGTGTGGAAAGGGTTAATTGCGATTCTCCCGAATCCACAAAAAAAAAGGGCCAGAGAGTGAGACAGAGTCTCCCAACGTGAAAGGCGCTATCCAAATAATGACATGAAAGTGACATAGAATTCCAAACGGGCGGCCTACAAGTGTAGTGTGTGACTCTCGTTAACAGTCCTGTGACCTTCTGTTGCTGCTTAAGGAATAAGCGCGAGTGGAATGGAGGAAGAACAAAAATTATACAGCAAAATGAGACAGGAATTGGGGGGGGGGGGGGTGGGGGGATACTGGCTGAAGCATTGACCTGTCCATGAATGTTTGATGCAGTAATTGGTCAAAGTTCACCATCCTCAAAAATAAACAAAGCCACTTTCTTTCGCAAGACAAACATTCGTCGCTGGGACAGGGCTACCAAAATAGCTTCCGCGCACACAACACGGTCAATACACTTTGCAATATGTATTCTGTGAAGCGCTTTGACACATCTATATTCTGTATCATTAGATTGAAGCGTGGACAAGCCCTGTGAGCTGTGTGTGTGTGTGTGTGTGTGTGCGTGTGTAATGGGGTGGGGTGGGGGGGGGTAAACATGCAGCCCCCTCTCTAATATCAACCCAAGCCAAAGTGTGCACAGGAAGTAGTGTTGTGCTCCTGTAGATGTGCTCAGCTCCCCACCGTGGCGATTACTTTCTTTGTGGAGAAAACCATAAGCGTTTGGGGTTTGGCGGTCCGGTTTGCGGAGGAAGGGAGGGAGAAGGACCCGGGACTGGGGTGGGGGACAGGTCGATCATTGCAGTTGAAAAGGGTGGGGGGTGAGCACGGAAAGGGGGTCTCTCTTTTTCCCACTCTCTCTGACCACATCTGTACATTTTCTGGTCGACGAAAGCCGCAGAGCGTACTGAAGGCCTGAGGTGTTGTCCACTACCTGGGCACTCAGCATCACTTCTTGTGGGGTTTGTTTTGCGACAGGTGCCGGTTACTTGAATACCCACGTCTCCTCAGGGATGCTGGTCGCCCCTGGTAACCTCAGCAGAACCATGATGACCCGCTCCCCGACCCCAATGTCACTGGGCTCGGACAGTCCCAGAGACATGCACATTGGCGCCAGGAACATGGCCTCCTCGATGGTAAGGGTCGTGTTTCTCAGTGGCTGAACTGCTGCCGGTTAGAATTACACAGGAAGGAAACCGGCCAATCTGCCCAACTAGTCCACACTGGTGTTTATACTCCACTCCATCTCTCCTACCCACTAACAACTCCCCCCACCACCTCCAACTCCCTCCCTCCCCCCCCCCCCCCCCACACACACACACACCCACCCTCCAATACCCGTTTATTCACTTTTAATTCACAATTGAGAAGAAATCTCTCCCAAATTTCCATGTGTAGGGGGATGCATGGAATTCTGAGTTTGGTTTGGATACTCTTAAGGACAGTGACAGGTTTCCGCATGTGTCAGACACCCGGCTGACCAAAATTTCAATCTGTCTGCCATCTCTCTACAGCTCACCCTTTCCCCTTACCCCCCCGCCCCCCCCCCCACCCCCCCATGTCATCAAAATGGCTGGGCCCAAAGCTGCATGTCCCTGGGATGGTGGTTTATCTCCAACCGGAATCCCAGGAAATCAACTCAAACGTTGAGTTCCGAAGTCGGCAAGTCAAACAGTGGCCATAAGCAGCTTTGGATCAACTATTTTAACATAGGTCCGAGGTGGGTGGGGGAGGAGAACTTGAGTCTACTTTGAACCAACAAAAAAATCACATGAAACAAACTGAGGTATTTGGAGCAATGAAAGACTGAAACTTTTATTCTTATTTTTCCTTCAACCAGAGAACAACTCACCCGTCTCTTCATTCTCCTCCCCCGATGGTGTCCATGGCCTCCCCAGGACTGAGCAGCCACTCATTAGGGGGATACTCCTCTGGCCTCTCTGGTAAGAACATCCATCCCACATTCCCTTCGCCTCGCTCCCTCCCTTGCCTCCTTCAAGCCGGGTCTCAAAACCCTCTACTTTGGCCACCCTCCTTCCCTCCGCCATCCCGACCCCCAGTTCAGGTCCAAATCTCTGACTGTCCCGCGCCTTGGGACGTCCTCCCGACGTGAAAGGGGCTGTGTAAATGTCATATTGTATTGAGTTCATCTCTTCGCATTTGGCTGCCTCGTTTCACACACAAAATACACAGCTAATCTACCAAAAAAGCACCGGCAAGAGATAAGATGGGGGAGGTGGGGGTGGTGGCAAAGAGAAGAAAATATGAGAATACTCTGGAGGGGTGGCTACCACTAGCACAGATATGGTGGAGAAAAAACAGTGGAATGGGATTGGAGTAGATAGGTCCATGGGGAAATCTAGCATGAGCTCAATGACTGTGTTGTCTGGGACTATAATGGGACTGGATTGGATTTTTCCCCAACGGATTCATTGACTAAACGTCCCTCATTCCCGATCTCCCACAGGCTACTCGCTGAGTGACGGCATCTCTGTGTACAGCGCGTCGGGGGGCGTCCAGCACGAGCTGGCAACAGGCTGGCACCAACGGCACCACCAGGCCCACCATCCCCACCAGAGCGAGCTCCAGTCCGCAGCCCACCCTCACATGGGGTAAGTCCAACATTCTGTTACCACCATATAGTGAAGGCTTTTGCCTTGCGGGGTGTGAGGTGGTGGGTGGTGGGGGAGGGGAGGGGGGGGTGGCTGTGTAACGGTTAGGGTTTAGGGCCCTAATAAAAGATGGTCACTCAATCCACCACTGTTTGTGGGGACGCTGCTGTGCGCAATTGGCTGCCGCGTTCCGCCCACAAAATGCCCGGTCAATCACTTTACAGTGTATAATCTGTGAAGCGCTTTGAGACGTCTCAGTGCAAGGATTATTACGATCATTATTGGTATTATTTTCTCACTGACAGGCTACCCAGCAGTGGTCACCTGACCCAGAGCTCCGGCCTACCTCTGTCTCCCTTCCAGACCATCAGCATCAAGTCAGAGCGGGCCTCCCCGCACAGCGAGGCCGGCGGCGGAATGTTCCAGAACGAGGGCCGTTTGCCGCTGGGCGCTGGTCTCGACAGGGCCACGTGCGAAGCCACCAAGGAATACGCCAAGAGCTACCAGTGCCCCATCATGCTGAGCCGCCCACCATCCCGGACCGAGGGGGGAGTGGCTCCCGGCAAACGCCTGCGGATAACGGACAACTGGCAGCGATGATGAACCCCCCCCCCCCCACCCCGCTCCTCCATGCCCCCACTCCCACCTCACCCCCAGGGACAAGATACAGAGCGAACAGACAACCCACCTTCCAACGTCTCGTCCCTGCACAAAATCGAGGACCAACGCACAGACCCTTTTTCAGGACTCCGCTTGTGATTTGTTTTATTTGTTTTTTCTTGGGGGTGGAGGGGGAAGGAAAGGTGAATTCTGTCAGAATGGAAGTGAATTGGAGTCTCTCTCTGACTCCCAACATCCCTCTCGCTCCCTGTCTCACGTCCTCTCTCTGTCCTTTCGGGAAGCTTAGCTTTTATTTGAAGTCGGATTTCCTTACGTTTCTTTTAAGAACTAAAAACCCTCCATTAAAAAGAAGACTGAACTCAACAATTTGCCAAATTCAGGATGTTCTAAAAATGTTATATGAATAAAAGTACACCTGGACCCAGGTGGAATTTTCCTCCCCCACGCCCTCAGGTGGATGAGCCCAATATGAGTCATCACCTTCATAAGAGATGGATGGGGTGGGGGGGGGAAGGGGGGAGGGTAGCCATTTTGTGTCATTCATCAAACCCCACCTCTTGGTATAACATCGCCTGGGGCAGTATATTGTGGGGAGCACTTCCAGTTATGATGTCCCAGTGGGATGGGGAGAGATGCTTCGTTCAAAATGACCACCTCCAACCAGGGCTTGGACTGAGAAAGGTAGCAGTCAGTGCAGTGTGCAGATACCAATTTTTGAGGTCTTAATCATTGACAGCAATGTCCTTTTCCTCTTCCAGCGCAAAATAGAGGAGCTCAAAGCTCCAAAAATGGATTTTTACCAAAAATATAATGTCCTTCGAGTCGACCGCCATCTTCAATGTGAGATGGGTTGCCACCAACAGCAACCACAACTTGCATTTATATCGACGCCCAACGTCCACCAGCAAAATTATCCTTTGCATTTTGGTCCATCACTCCCGCAGACAATTACGTGCTCTTCACAAACTTTGGCTGAATCTGCTGTGTGTTCCCAGTATCCTGGGGGAAAGTATTTTTACAGATATATATTTTTTACTGTTTTATTTCAGGACTTGCTCTCCTTTTCCTTTCTGCCCCCCGCTCCACCACCACCCCAATAAACTTCTCCCTCACTCAGTCACCGTTCCCCTAACCTGGTGACGCAATCTGTTCAGCTGTAGCATTTTTTTTTGTTAAAACCAATTCTTATTTATTCAGAGACAAGATTTGGTCTTGAGATGAGATGGATCTCACTAGTGCTGTCTCCCCGAGGGGAGTAAGGTCCCCTTTGGCCACAAAGCTGGCATAGACTGAGAAGGGAGGGGGTCGTTGTTGATTGGATTTTGTAACCAAGTGTGTGATTTGGTTAATCACATCCCCATCCTCTCTGGTTTATGAGGTGGGAACTCTGTGTGTGTGTGTGTGTATATCTCATCAGCAGCGAATCTCCCTCATCCCCCCCGCCCCCGCCCCCTCCTCCATTTAAAATACTTCCCCTTATTTCCTCCCCCCTCTGGGAATAGTCCCCCTCATCGACCCTCCCCTCACTGTACCCCTAACTCCCTCCCCACGCTCACTCCCCCCCCTTCCCCCCTCCCCCCCATGATCTAGCAGAATGGCGTAACAGGCTCGAGGGGGCTGATTGACCTCCTCCGGTTCCTCTGCTTCACCCCCCCCCCCCCACCCCCACCCCCAGGGGAATCTCTTTGACAATCTCTCTGTGGAGTCTCTCGCTGTGACCCTGCTTGGTGGATTCAGTCAGCGGACTCGAAGACCCTGTCTATTTTGCCTGTTCAAAGCTACGTAAAACCAATCGCAAGTTTTGGTTATTTTTTTTTATTTTTTTTTTAAAAAATCGTACCATTTCCGAAGGTTCCGGCGGAGATCGCCGGGAGGTTCTACGTAACTTGCTTTAGCGATTTCAGTTGTGAGTCCCGCGATATTATCTCTTTTTTTTATATATGGCCGTGTAAATAAAGATGGCGGCAAAGAGGGTGAGCGCACTGCTGTCCTTCATTAAGTTAAACATTAAATAAAATTTTATTGTGCAAAAAAAAACCCCATCCTGTCTTGCCTTCATCCTCCCTCTCTCCACCAGCCACCACCCCCTTTGTTTGTCACGGTGCGGTCAGTCATATAGGGAAGCGGGTGTCAGAAAACATTCGCAACAGGAGACACGCCCAACTTAACAGCTGAAATTTCAGAGCGACAAAATAGGCAACACTAGCTCCTAATTTGCTTTGGTCTGAACGCGTCCTGCTAATGGCCTCGGCTGTCTGGCTGGTCTATCATCAGTAAGCAGTTGTCACTGACTGGAACCCACTCAACAACAACAGCAAATTACATTTGTATAGCGCCTTGCCTTTCACGTCAGGAGGACGTCGGTGGCTTTAATGTCCAGGTCAGTGCTGTACTGGAGCGTAGAGCAGTTTCCGTTGCTGTAACTGCATCGAGCAGATGCTCGTGCTTTTCTGCTGTTGGGAGGCGGAGAGGCGCTGAGCTAAAGGCTGCTCTCCTCACCGCAGGGCACCGGAGAAAGATCAACGTTTCTCGAGACACCTTCCAGCTCCGGCGGAGACCTGGGGGCAGCCAGGCTGGCTCCCTCCTCAGTGTCCCTCAGAGCACAGGAAGTGAAAGCGCCGGGGGAATAAAATACCCATTTTGTGAAGAACGGGGGGAGAAATTCCAAGTTTGTTCATAGTTAAAATTGCCTTTGTTCTCCATGTGCGTTCTACGTGGAGGTGGGACTATGCCTTTTCTTTCGAAAGAAAAAGAGATAATAATAGATGCATCGCCTTTCACGTCGGGATGACATCTCAGAGCACTTCATACGAGTCACAGTGAAGTCCAGGCAACCTCAGGTTAACGTCTCAACAACAACAACTTGCACTTATATAGCACCCTCCGCGCAGGATAGTGTCTCAAAGCGCTTAACAGTGGCGGAGCCTGACTCTGAGCCGGGTGGTGGGTGGTGGGTGGGTGGGGGGGGGGTCCTCTCTTCAGAAGAACGCCACCTCCGACATCACAGTGCACCCCCAGCGCTGCACTGGCGAGACCGGCTAGACCACGCGTTTATTCAGGGGACAGAAAGGTAGGAAAGTGCAGCCTTGGAAAGAGGAGAAGGGTCCTTCAAATCAACCTCATCTCATCCCCATCTCCATGACGTCCACCCCATCCCTTTCCCTATCAGCAAAACCTTCCAATTCCCCCGCGATGCTGCTCGCTCTCTGCTTCCGCAGAACCTTCACTCTCCTTAAGGTCACCGGGTAAATTGCTGCAACAGGAGACCAAATGCCTTTGAGCAGCAGGAGGTGAGATAATCGGAGGAGAATGTATTTATATATCAGAGCTGTGGGGGGGGGGGGGGTTTGGGGGGGGTTAGGTTTCTCACATTGTGGCTGCAATTCACCTGTTCGGCCACACGATGGCCCTGTGCACCATCATTCAGCTGTAAAACACAGTGAAATAATCCTTGGGGATGGATGTGGTGTCTGTCTGTCACATTGCAACACTTGAAAGCTCTTCAGAAGTGAGGGCTGTCAAGTGTAGTGACTGTGTGTGGGTTGTGGGTATGTGGGTTACTTGCTGGGCAAACCTGGCTGTCAATTTGCGCACAATGAGGTCCCCCACAAACAGCCAAGAAAGAAGTGAACAGTCCTTTTCTGGAGGATTGTTGGCCAGGACACCATCAAAGGTGAGGTTTAGAGGAAATGTTTTTGCACATTGAATGTAGAGGTGTTGGTAATGTAGAAAGCCTCACAACAAATAGCTGTTGGATGCCAAGTTCACGGCATTTATTTAAAAAGGTATTGGATAAATACTTGAGGCAAAATAAAATTGCGGAGCAGGGGAATGGGATTAGAGAGTAGAGAGCTCCAGTGGGGGAGTTAGCACCAATCTCCTCCTTCTATGATGTACACTTGCTAAGATTTTATGGTTGGCACCATTTCCAAGTCGTGTCAAACAGTGAGATGCCAAGCTGCCTGGAGGAAATGAATGGCTGGCTTTATCCAGGGAGGCTTGGATCTAATGATAAACCTAGCAGTAAGTAGGAACCCAGTTGTTAGTCGATTGGCGGATCGCTTTCCGAGGGTAATAATCCCTCAAAACAAACATGATTTGGTCACTCAATCCGCGACTGTTTGTGGGAAACTGCTGTGCGCAATTGGCTGCTGTGTTTTGCTCAGAAAGTATACAGCCAATTCACTTTACGATATACTCGGTGAAGCACTTTGAGACGTCTCAACAACTTGATAAGGCGTTATATATCAAATGCAAGGATTATTATTATTATAAAAGCCTGACAAAACCTGTCTGACACAGATCCCTCCTTCCCATTGCTTACTCCCGCATTTAGTTGAAGAGGGGAGTTGGGGCAACATTTCTGGGGGTGTAAAGGTTCCCCCCCACCTGCCCAATCAGGGCTGCAAATTTCCTGGGGTTAAATAGTCTATTCCATCCTCTTGCAATGAACCTCATTGGCAATTATTGTATATAGCTGACTGGAGGGGGTAAGGGGAGAGATAACATGAATACTTTATTAAATGCATCAGCAATTTAAAGATATTGTATATTAACTATGGACATTGAGACGCCAGTGATTGTTTTCTTTAATAAATGCAGATTTTTTTTTCAAAAATCCACTGGAAGATTTTTTGTGTGTGTGGGTATGCGTGAGTGGGGAGGGGGGACTAGCTGTTAAAGTGTTGAATCTGTGTATTCCTGCAGCGAACATGCTTTAATCTAAGGCCAACTAACCCGTAGGATAAGAATCGTTTGGTATTTTACTGCAATTATTTGCAATTAAATTTTTTTTTAATTATAATTATAACAGCAAAAAAAGAGCAAATCGCCCCTCGCTCTCTCCTTACTGTGTTGTATCCACAACACTATAATTTACATATTTGCATTTAAGGCTGGGGGCAGAAAAGAGCAAGGAGAGGTCTAACGATAGATACAAGTTATGGATTGAGTAGAGAGTGAGAGACAGAGCGCCAGATGTAGAGTAACAGCCTGGCACAGTCTTTAGGGCTTTAGGTTTTCTACAATAAGTACAGGTTTTTTGAAAAATCTGCACAATCCTCTATTCCAGGCAGAGGGCGAAACCTTGGGCAAGTTTCCTTACTCCACACAGAGCCTAATAATAATCCTCCAAAAACAAAAACAATAATAAATTGGTCATTTTCAATCTACGACTGTTTGTGGGACACTGCTGCGCGCAATCGGCTGCCGCGTTCGCCCACAAATATACAGTCAATTCACTTTACAGTCTATTCTGTGAAGCGCTTTGGGACGTCGAGAAGACGTGAAAAGCGCTGTATCAAATGCAAGGATTATTATTATTATTTTATTATTGTAAAACATTGTCAACATTGTTAAAGGAGTGGTTGCAGCCGACGACCGACAAGTGGCGCCTGTTTTGAACCTCAGTCACCAATATGATCAGCATTTTTCTACACAGAAAAGGTGATCCTATTTTTTTCCCCCAACAGAATAATAAAGCAAACGTGTGTAGGTTACTCTCTTATCACTCAGCAGCGCCTCGTTGCAATAGGTCACGTTACGTGGAGATATTCTATGGTGTTAAACAATACCTATTTATTGTACATTTTTTTAAAAAATTGTTTCATTTCGGAATTCAATCGAAATAGCAATATTTGCCAAGGCTTTTTTCAGCCTTCGTTTATTTGATTTGATGCATTTGTCGGTAAAAGTGATACCAACCCCATTTTTGGAAGAAAAAACATACTTTTCTTTAAAAGAAAAACTAGATTTTTTTTTAAAACGGGTAAAAAGAAAGGGACAGAAACGATCGTGTGTATAATTCCACTGGAAACATTTTACAAATTAATAATTTCAAAGTCATACAAGGAGACCCTTTTTTTTTAGCATTCTTGCATTTTAGTTGCTAATTCCAACCTAAATCTATTTGATTTTTTAAAAAAATATATCTCTACTGTGTCGTTAACAGCTGAATTAAGGCAATTGCGTCGAATTTTCTTTCAGGCACAGTTCCCTTACATTGGGAATATTTTGATTGTTTTTAGGTCTTTTTTGTTTCGTTTACGAATTCTCAGTTTGTTAAAGTTTCCAAAAAGAGGCATTTTTACCCTTTTCTAAAAACCTATCAGAGTTAATCGAGTTGTTATTATTGGAGATTAACGTGAAGGATTCAGCTGTAGCACTTTGGAAAATATATATATTCAAAAGGTGCTTTATAATATATGTAATATATTGTGTGTGTGTGTGTGTATATATTTGTATTTATTCTCCTATATATTTGCAAAAACAATTCTTTTTTTCGCACCCCATCTCTCCATAACTTGAGGGAACTGTGCGGTTTGCGGTAACTCAGAAGTTTTTTCTTTAAAAAAATATTAAGAACAGGTATTTTTAACATGAAATTATCAAATCATTGTTAGGACAACAAAGGTACTAAACCGGTATTAAAGCAGGAATTGTGCCCCATTCTGGCGCCTCATCATCTCGAAATCCTTTAAAGATCTTTTCAGTCATTTGTTGTCAGTTGCTTTGATTTTTTTTTTGTACA